AGCAAGGACTGGTGAAGACATTCTGGGTGAAGCTCACTTACTTTGCATTTATTTTCAACAGAAAATTAATGACCATTCCAGCCATGACCTATGTGGAAGAAAATTCCTTCAATCATTAAGCAAATATTTACTGAGTGCCCTATTAAGTGCTTAATATATACTCTATCAAGTGTTACTAAAAAGCAGTAAATGCATTTGATCTAATGACAAACAAATGACTGCTTCTTTCCAGAAAATTCAGTCTACTGAGCAAACAAGAGTCTTCTCTAAATGTAGGCTGTGAGAGAAATACAATACAAAATAACTCATCATTCCATCAAGGTGATTTCTCCTTTATCACAAGCTGATCAGTCCATCACAAATTTATTACCACTGACAAAGAACCAATAACCAGCACCTCATTCTACTGAACGAATCTTTTAAAAAAGCGTTTCTCTCCAACATCCACTCAAAATTACAGAACGTTTAGTTGACCTACATCTACTGTTCTTGGGAAGAGTAATGTGAGGGCAAGTGTATACTGGAAACTTAGACACATTCTCAACTCTTTGAAAAATTAATAGGAAAAATTCTCATGCCTATGCTATTAAAATATGTCTAATTTAACTGATTAAATAACCCAAACCCCTGAAATCCAAAAGCGTGGTATAATAACATCAGGTCTTTGGCTTTTCTTAGTTATTAAAAACAGTTGTGTTTACCCCTGAGACTATCACCCTGGGATACCCTTTAAGCCTGGAACTCAAACTACTCCCAGTGGTCACCTATCAGTCAAAAGACAGAATGGCTCATAAAATAAATAATACCTCCCTCTAAACAACCATCTAAATGAGACGTAACAGTCAACTTTTACCCTAGACCAAAGATGAGAAGGTAAGTGTGGACAAGAAAGCTACATTAATGGAAACAACCAGAAGGAAATAATGAGAACGCTGACACATTATGAAAAGTGTAACCAATGTCACTGAATAATATGCATAGAAATTGCTAAACGAGAATCTCATTTGCTATATAAATTTTCCCCAAAAACACAATAAAATATCTTTTTTTAAAAAAAGTTGTGTTCAGGGTATCTTCCAACAATTTGTGTTTTCTTCTCTGTATTTTGCTACTGGTTCAACTTTTTTGCCCACAAAAATAAGGTATGCCCAAGTCTCCAGTTTCTGACAATAATATCTGGTGTGTGCACATAAGAAAAAGCTTGAGAGAATTTTCTAGTTTTTATTTAAAACTTTTTCATTTAAAACTAGAATGCCTTTAGCAAAGATTAAACATAAATCAGCTTCTACCTTATTTGGAGATTGCTATTTTCAACATTTACCTTAAACCATAACATGGATTTATCTTCTAACGAGCTAGCTTCCTGTCACTCACCAACTAGATTAGAGTGTAACTTTTTTGAGAGCAAGGGACTACTGGATCCCATTATCTGTTTCCCAGCAAATACATTTCAAAGACTCTGCAAGTCTCTTGTTGTCTGCTGTGGTGGTTGGGCAACCCCTGCCTCATGGAGACCCCATAAACGTTGCTAGCCTTAAAGCCAGGAGGATTTCTCTAAAATTTTAAAGCTATTTTGATAAGAACAAGTTTGTCCTTAACACCAACGGGTTCTCCAAGTGTGGCCCCCAGTCCCTGGGAGTGTCTAAGACCCTCCTAGGATATCCATGAGGTCAAAACTGTTTCCATAAATAATACTAAGATGTTACTTTTATTGCCCACTCTCATTCTCTCACAAGCATGAGTGGAGTTTTCCAGAGGTTCTATGGCCTGTGAGAGCTCAACAGACTGAATGCACAAGCAGCTATGAGAATACAGCTGACTTCTATTAAGCCAACAAGAAAGAGCTGCAAGAATGTAAAATAATGCCCCACTTCTCACTAAGCCTAATGGCCCAGTGGTTGAAACAGTCAACTGCTAACTGGAAAGGTCAGTGGTTCGAAACCTACCAGCAGCTCTGTGGGAAAAAGATATGGAGGTCTACTCTGCAGAGATTTACAGCCTTGGAAGCCCTTTGGGGTCGCTATGAGTCAGAATGGACTCAACGGCAGTGGGTTTGGTTTCTGACTTCTCACTAAATTTTTTTTGTTTTGGAAAACATAGTTATTTTATATAAATTGTTATTTATGTTCACAGGTAACAGATTTATAATTGTTATTTGTAAATGAATTATTACACATATATATTTTTTGATTTCCCAGTTTTAATCCCTAGTGTGGTGAATATCAATAGACATAAGCCACACAAACAAAGGTTCTTTGGGTTCTCAATAATTATTTTTAGGAGTATAAGCCGTCCTGAGAACAGAGTTTGTAGCTCCTGTGGTACACAATTATATAACCTAACACAGTGCCTTCCACAGATAAGAAACTCAGATTAATTCTAAAGTATAATTAAGTTCTTACACCCCTAATCTTGTTGAGTAACATATCTCCCTGTAAAGCATAATTCAGCAAAAGTGAGCCTGCCATAGGCCCCATTTAAGGGGCTTTAGGTATTTACACATTCAGAGCCCTCTTTATAAAGGTGTTCTGACCTATATAATACTACCTATTACTTGAATAGTGTACAAGAGTTTCTCAAAGTTTTCACAAAAATTATCTAGTTCATTTTAACAGCAACCTGTGAAATAAATGTAAGGTATTAGCTTTTTTTTTTTTTTTTAACAGACATAACGAAATTTATACCCAAAGGAAACAGAACTACTTGTCCAAGGATGTGTCGCCAGCTCTTAGAGCCTAGGATGCTGGTCTTCTGCAATGTGCTTGGCTACCTGAAGGCTGCCTCACTGTGTTGTAACTGCAAGCTCCCAGAGAAAATAAGGTAAAGGCATTACTGTTATTGTCCCTGTGCCAAAATAGGATTTTCCCCACCTTAATAAGAACGTAACCAGAATCAATACCCAGACACAGCATTATTCAAAACATTCGCTACCTTTTTGATCCCCTATCAAAAAAAAAAAAAAGAAATCCAAACGTGCTGGACAACAAATAGCAGAATACATAACACTCCAAGATGATGAGGTAGTCTAGGACTCGCAGATTTACTCATCATTTAATCACTGAAACAACAGGCAGGCAAGAACAAGACCAAGCTCAATACAGTAACCCTAGATTATATCAACGAATACACGCCAACAGGTTAAATGGGAGGCCCGAGTGAAATGGGTCCAATTCAGAATGTGGACAGAGGGAAAAACCCTCACAAAATTGAGAAACTAGCTGTATCGGTTCCACAAATCCAAGCAAGTGGCTAGAACCACCCTTGCAAAGCTATGTCAGAGGCAAAATTTGTTGCAAAAGGCAGAATGGACCATCCTAACTCTTGGGACAGAAATGACCCCTCCCTTCAGGCGAACATACTAGTTTGTTCTTGTTATCAGCACAAGTCTGTCAGTGATGCTCCACTGAACTTATTAAAATGTCCCTGAAGGATGCTCAATTTTCTGCATCTCTTTTCCACAGTCAAGCAGACTCCCTGACTGGTGGAGGCAAGACTGACTCACAACAGGATATCGGCCACTTGCATAACTCTTTTCCTTTTTTAGATGCATGTGCCCAGTGAAGCCATTTTTAAGTTTGATGTGATTTTACACAGAAAAAGCCAGGAGTGTGGTAACTGTCCACTTTGTATTCTGACACGTAGTTTACTACAGATCAGTGAGAGGTGATTTTATTACTCCTCATAAGCGATGCTTTTCCTAGTGTTTACTTTGGTCACTCCCCCCCCCCCTCAAAATCTCTTTTTTGGAAAAAGGAAATGAAAAAGTTATAGCTATAGCACCACAGCTATAGCTACAGTGAATGCTTCACCAACCAATCTGTAAAGCAATTTTATACACCTGATTCGTTGTTCATCCTCAACCGTTCACTGGGGAAGGTACATTTATAGGTCAGAACTAATTTATACAAATTTCCACACCTTCACAAAAAACTGCTATCTGACTTTACAAAGGCAAGCACAAGCACCAAACCTCTGGGAGCTGCAGGAAATTGCAGTTATTTCTATTCCTTATCCTAGGGTACCTTTTTCTTTGTGCCGCTGTTTTTCTCCAAAGACATAATCACCTGTCAAAAGTAAGGCATTCTCTAAAACTACCTTTCCAGCTCCGGCCCACAATGAGAAATGCCACACAGCTAAATTGTATCCCAGCTGCTTTCATCGATTTCTCCAAAGTAACTTCAGATTTTTGAAATGCACAATTCAAATTTTACGCTACAACTCAAGCTACCGTTGACCTTCGCAAAGCTAATAAACAAAGACTCTAGCTGCAGCAGCAGGGCCCTACCAGGAAGTAATCAAAGCCGTGTGGCCGGCGCGATCCTAAGAAGTCGCTAGAGCAGACAATGAGAGGGCACCGGGCTTCCACAGGGGCCGGCAGGAGGAGTTAAAATGCCTAACCTGCGCAAGCCAGAGCATTCCATAAACCCAGCGCCTGTTCCACCGCACAGGAACTCGGAACTCCCGACGCAGTTCCAGACAGCCCACGAGATCGGCAAGCCCAACTCCAGCCGCCCCTCCAGAGCCGCTGTGGCTCAGTCTCCCGAGCCTGTTTTCAAACTTCACCCTCCTTGGCTGACGAAACACCCCGAGCTCGGCCGCCCGAGCTTTGGGGCGCCGCTCCGGCTCCGGGCCCCCGCCGGGCACCGCTGGGGTGCCCGAGCCTGCGAGAAGCGAGAGGAAGCGGGGCCGGCGGCGAAGAACGGCCCCGGGCGCCCCTCGGCCAGACAAAGCTGCGCCC